AGGGCAACATAGGATGTAGGGGGCTGACGCCCTCAAACCCCCAGGTGAGGCTGGATTTATAGTCTGCCCAGATACCACTGTGTGCCTCCCCTCCCCCACAACTCCCACCTCCCTCTTCTGTCTCCAAAGAGGAATGAACAGCTTCCTTCCCTCACTGGTCTCTGTCCACCAACAGATGCTCTCAATTACCACAAAATTGCTAAATAAATCTATTTTACTTGTTTTGATTTGTTTCTCTCAGAAAGCCTTGGCTTCCCTGATCAACACATCAACACACACTCAGCTCCGTGTCTTGTTTAGTTTGAATCAAGGATGCACAACTGTGTCCCTTTCCTGGGGCACAGCCAAGGTTCAGAGGACCCGTTGTTAGCCACTTCTCCTGGTGGAAAATGGCTGGGAATGTGCTTTGGGGAGCACACTGATAAAAATGACTCCGAATATCCTATCGTGGCCAAAAAACCTGATCGTTTAAATAACCCATTACACGGGACTTTCCAAAGGAACTGTGTCACTGAAACATGAAAGAATGGGCCTGTAGAAAAGATGCTCTTTTTGTTTGCTTTATCTTAAAATTTCCTTTCCCCTATCTGTCCCAGTGCAAAAAAAAGGCTTGTAGATACCTTTTTTATGCGGCCATGCCTGGTGGCACTTGCTTATCCTATCACTTGGGCAGCTGAGGCAGGAGGATGTCAAGTTCAAGATCACTATGAGCTAGTGAGTTTTAGGAGCAGCCTGGGCAAGAGAGTGAAGCCGCACTGTAAAGCTGCGGTGCAGCCATGTCTCAAAGCTCACAGTGCCGCTGTTTTTTGTGAGATCGTTTTATGACGATGAGGAAACCGCTTGTGAAGAAGGAAACTGTTATTCTAAGTTTCCAGACGAGGAAAGTTTTTGCAAGGCAGTGTTGATGGCTTTTTTTCTAGGTCACGGGCGGGCCTGCCGGAAAAAAAAAAATATTTTTGATTAACACCCGTTTAGCTCCAGGCTTCTGCCTTGAATTAATGAGTCTAGGCTGGCAGGCAAAGAGGAATTTTAAAACATTACTTTAATTTTTTTTTCGTTATCTTTTAGGAATAAAATCTTAGAATCCGGCTTCCTGACTTTGAGAGACCCAGTTCCTTTTTCTTTTTTAAAGAAACAAAATGTAATGCGGAGACAATAAATGGTAAAAATATCCCCAAACCTCACGTCTGTGCTTGGTGCCCATCATGAGTCAGCCCCCTTCCATGGGATCGGCTTTTACCCTTTGGAAAGCAGAACCTCAAATGTCTGCAAAATAGCACGAGGGGATGGGAGCTGGCTTTGCGGAGGAGCTCCTGCTGTCCTCGGCCTTCATGTTTGGAATTCGATGTTTTTTTAAAAAAGCCTTCTGCTTCCCTTAAAAGATACAGACCCCAGAGTAAGTGCTAGGCGAGCTCTCACACAAGAATGGGTCCTTTTCCTGAAGAAAAGCCCTTCTGGGCGAGGCTCCTGTGATGGGTTGGGAGGCGACACCCTCCACCCCACCCCCACCCCTGCTGCGTGTGAATGCCTGGGGTCTTACAAAGCAACAGCACTGATTTCAAAGGCCTAGAGGGGTTTCCCTCCCTTGGTGTGTGGCGCAGGGGGGTGGGGGTGGGGGGGAGCTCTCCTCTGTGTGACAACTCATTGTGATGCTGCACTTGACATTTCCACACAGGCCTATGGGGAACAAACAGACAAACCAATACAAAGCGATTCTGCTTGCGGCCACCTGCTGCTAAGCGATTGCTCTACCTGCCTCAGGAGTGATCTGATGGACAGATGGGCCTGGGGATCCACAGGGCTGCCACGGCCGCCTGGGAGTGATGGAGGTGGTGGTGTTATGGTCACTTGATACTTGAAGCATATGGATAATAGGCATACCGGGCACCCTGGCATTTAGGAAATTGTGTGGCGCAAAACCATCTTCATATTTTTTTTTTAAAGAAAATTATGGGTTTTACTCTTTTCTGTTAAACTTGCCTGGGTATTTGAAGGTGCTCATAGAATTTTGTTTGTGGGAATTTGGGAAGGACATTATGTTGACGTGTGCAGTGGAGAATTAAGACAAATGATAATTGAAAGAGATGATAAAAGCTAGTGGTTTCCATGGGGGAAATAATCATGACCTGCTGTCAAATTGATTCCAATAAGAACATTGCTTTATGTGAAATGTTTTTTAAACAGCTAAACCAAAGCAGTACGCCAGAGCACTTCAGAGGGCATTTATCGCTGTCTGTGAGTTTCTATTAGGCCTCCATCTGAGATTCCTCGACTTACATTACCCACCAGCACAGCTGTGTTTAGCTTTTTTGTGGTCGACACTTAGCTGGAAATGAGAACTCTCAGGTTACAGAAAGATAATCCTACATTTAACCAGGGGGATTCACAATTGCAGATGTGTGAAGTCACTTCGGTGCGCTAGCCTGGGTCCGCTGCTGCCGCTGGGTTGAACGTGTTTCTTTAATAGTTCTGGAAAGACATTGCTATGTTTGGGGGCCTTTAGCCAGGGAAAGCCTTCCCCGTGATCCGCATCTGCGTTTTTGTGCGTCGGTTGTGGAATCATTCTCAAAGACCCCATCTCCTTGTGTCCCTATTGTCCACCAGAGAGAATCCATCAACGACCCTAAAAAGATTCCTTACAGTTGTTTTGTGACACAGCTGTGCCCTATATTAAATTGAAACAAAGAGCCTGGCCCGAGGCACAAATGCTCACGGAATGAATGAGTGAAGGAATGAATGACTCTGGTCAAAGCTTGCTTCCGTGTTACCTCCACTCTTCTCCATCAGCTTGGACCCCTTAGTGACGGCAATGGGAGGTCACTGCACGGGCTGGTCTCAGTTTCCCTCCCTGTGGATTTGGCTAATAGGAGGCAGGAGATGGGTGGATGGGGCAGATAAGGTGGTATCTGAAATACGATCCGCTTTGTTTCCTCCTTACAGACCCTCTCCATACCATTTCCCCAGGGGGTTCTCTGGTGTCACCAGTATAGGCTGTGTCTCAGCAGTTGCTCCCAAATAACCATTCAGAGACTTATTGTTAATTATAAATGCTCAGCCCATAGCTTAGGCTTGTCTCCAGCCAGCTCTTACAACTTAAATTAACCTGTTTCTATTAATCTAAGTGCTGCCCTGGGGCTTGTTTACCTCATCTATGAACTTCCCATGTGGCTTCTTCTGAATCAGTCTTGAGACTCCTCAGACTCCACCATTTGTCTTCTTTCCAGCATTCTCTCTGCCCTGAAAATGCTGCCTACCTATCGACCAATCAGGTTTTTTTTTTAGATTTATTTATTTATTATGTATACAGGAGAGGGCGCCAGATCTCATTACAGATGGTAGTGAGCCACCATATGGTTGCTGGGAATTGAACTCAGGACCTCTGGAAGAGCAGTCAGTGCTCTTAACCTCTGAGCCATCTCTCCAGCCCCGACCAATCAGTTTTTTAATAACAACGAGAGCAATACATAGTTACAGTGCACAAGATTGTCCCACAGCACACTAGTCAGGTATCACGGTCATTCCTCCTATGCATCCTTAAATCCTGCCACACCATTGTAAACAGTCTCTTTTGAAATTCTCTTCTGTTGTCAGTGTGAAGGTTCCCACTGAATCCCTGACTGATATTTGCCCAAGCCACCTAGTTGACAAAGTTGGTGGATGTTTGTCTTTCTTGCATTATTGCAAGTGAATGCTCTAGAAGAGACCCGTGAAAGTGCTCTGTCCCCTTGATTCAGAAAAGAATGTGACCAGGCAGCATTTATCCTTGCCTGGTCCATGATGGTTCTTGATAAATGTTGATTGACTGAATGGTTATCAGCATCTAATAAGAGAAGAAGAAAATCAATTTAATCTAGAGTCCCTTAGGCCACCCATCTAAGGGAAGACAATCACATTTGTGTTAATGTGTCTCATGATCAGCTTGTTCAAATGTATCTCTTGGTTGGGGTGGTGGTAGTGACAGCTCTTGCCACAGTCCCTGCCTGGAGAATAGTGTATGTACATGATGGCTTCTTCTCTGGCCCCAGAGCCTTCCTATGACCCCGTCCTCGCTATACATTGAGCTCGGTGCCAACCTCACTACCTTGCAGGAGCTCCTATGTTATGACCCCTGAGGTCTCCCTGAAGCTAGTCATTTATCATGCCAGCCCGTGGAGGGTCCCCTGCCCTCCATTGCTCTCTCGTCCTATAGGCTGGGCCCTTGTCTCCATTTGGAATCACTGAGTCTTTGAGAGGTCTCCAAATGGTGACATTCTAGGAGAGGAGCTGTGAGCTCCAACAAAGACTTCCTGACCAAAGCTTCCTTTTTTCCGCACAGGCATTCCCATTTGCGCCTCTCCCAGACCCCTGCTTTCCCTACTAGCCTTTCTGCCGCCCACCCTTGCTGTAAGTAAGACTCAGGTCCACCACCAACCATCTAGTACTGGAAGTACCTCAGACTGTCTGCTGACAGGTGTGGGCTGCCTCCCACTACTACAAAGCCACGCTCCACCGCTCAGCATCCTTGACCACCCCCCCCCCCCCACCCCGACCCAAGCTCAGGAGTAGGTGTTATTGCCTGTCTCTCCCAGTGCTAAGAAAGATGACCAAATGCCTGTGTGTTTCTTCCCCATGAAGTTAGCACTTCAGCTTTATGGTGCTGGGAATCCTGGAACTGCCCCTTAGGGAGCCGATTCTTAAAGCTCTAACCTTAGAAAATAGTAAGCGCTAAAGACCTTTTCCCTCGGAATGTGAAATGGTATCATGCGTATCCAGCCACAGTCAGGGCACTATCAGATGGAGTCAGGTGGAGTTTGTCTATGACCAGACAGTCCCTAGGGGTCATTGTCACCAGCTTCTTCATTTGGGTACTGGATTTTCTTACAGTGCCCTCCTGTGGCTTCGGTGGCCTGAAATGGCAGCAGCTCTGGGCACACATGCTGGTAGCCTTGGCCCAATCTGATATTCCTCCTGCCCTGCCCAGATCCTCAGTCTTTACACCCTGTGTTCTCTGTCCCTCACAGGGTCCCCGGTGGCATATAGAGCTCCAGCCTTGGGCAGGCCCTGCTCAGTCCCTGGATGAAGAAGCCTCGAGGTTCCTGAGCTACATCAGCACCACTCAGGTTGTGTTTCAAGCTGCAATGGGTTGGGGAATAATGTCCAAGGTACTGACCAACCACTGCAAGAAGAGTTTGCCCTCTGGGGCCAGGAGGGTTACGAGAGGAACTCTGTGGGAACCCACAGAGGTTTCCTAGTGAGATCCGAGCTTGCTTTACCGAGCAGGGCTGCATAGGGGGTGGATTGACCAGGGGTGTGGTTACCAGGTAATTGGAAGGGTCTGCACTTGGCTGTGCTGGGGGGAGGTCTTTTGCTCCTCCCCTTGGCATTCCTATAAAGAGCCCTTTAGAAGAGACAGAAGGGACTGGTGGATTAGGATCCAGGCCCTCCCAAGGCTATCCTGTGTTTCTACCTGTTTCTCTCCCCCTCTATATTTCTATCTAAATCTCTTATCCCTTACTCCTCAAGAGTACCCCAGGAAAAAAGGTAGGGATGGGTCCCCCACAAAGCTCCTGATGGGAACCGGACAGGGACCTAGTTTCTGAAGTCCTGCTACTCCATTTCCCCCGCTCCGTGGAGGCAGAGAAGATGGCTCCCATTTGCTTATCATTTCTTCCTTCCCAGATTCTCATCAGCCTGGAATGTTCTAATGATTCATCCCCAAGTATTTTAAAGAGTCACTTTAGAAAATCGCTTTGGAAAGCCAGTTGAAGAGACAGATTTGTCCCTGTGAGTGGGCAGTCAAGTGTGTCACAAAACAAAGCCATCATCTGGAGGTACAGCTCCTTTCCTATTTGGGAGGACTTGCCCATGTGCTTCCCAGCCACGGGCACTTGGCAGCCAGGCCGTGATGGGCCAGGAAGCCAGAGCCTCTGAGGAGCACTGCGAGAAGTTAATGACCCCAGTGCTCACGTCCCTCTCCGTGGAGCGCCCTAAGTCATTACTGAGCACGGCCTTTATTAGTGGCTTAACACACAGTGGCAGCAGCTCCTGCCCAGTTCCAGGGGTGAGGCGGAGTCAGGCCCCGAGAAGGCAAGAGAATGTTTGTTACAGAGACTCTAGGGCGCTTGACACATTAATGGTACATTGTCATGTTGCCTGATCCTAGGGAAAAGCAAGTTTAAGAGGAGATTGAATCCTGAGGGACGCTTAGCCCTGGACTGACAGGTGACAGAAGATAGGACATTCTGAGTCTGGGGACTGAGCACAGACTCACAACAGGACGCTCCCTGGGCAGGAGTGGCCTGGAGAGGGCGGGCCTTGGATGCCTATATCCTTAAGTCCACTGGCCCTTGGCACTGCACTGAACCTCACTGGCAGCAAAGCCCATTATAAAGGACGAGAAAGAATATAGTCTCGTTTCCCTTCCCTTACTTTGAGAGAAGCTTTTGCTATGTAGCCCAGGCTAGCCTCAAACTCCTCCTGAGTGCTGAGATCACAGGTGTATGCCATGTGTCTGGCTCATTTTCAGAGCTATAGGGAGACTAGTTCAACTTCAACATCTTATTTCTGACATGATGCAGTCAGACAGTCAGGAATTTTAATACTTACCACCCAAATATGGAAATAAAAGCCTGTAGAGTTAATTGTGGTTGATAGAATGATAAATCAGTCCCTGTGATTTACAGAAAATTATCTTACTTGGCTGCTTCAAATTAATTGGGTGGACTTAACCAGGCTTAATTAAAATACTGAAATTTTAATTTTATCATTTGGCTTTACATGGAGGATAGGAGATCAGATCTTTTAATTGTAACTTAAAAAACGCTCTTAATGGCCTGGAGAAAAATTAGAGGTGTTTAATATATAAACTGAATTTGAAAATGATGAGATCCATCCTCCAAAATTAATTTATTGAGTGTGAGCCTCCAAATTCCATCTTACATGTATTTAGGTTAATGTTCTTTAACTTGTCTAAGGGGTCTTTACTTACAAGATGCATTGGGGCACTCGGTTGTCATTTCAGACTTCTCTTGTGTTTTTCTCATGAGCCATGATTTGAGAGGGGGGAAAAAAGTCTAGAAAAAGAAAAAGGAAGCATGTTCTGATGTGATGTGGGCTAACCTTGGAACTTGGACAGCTGATTTTGCTTCTATGATTGTCACTGTTCTGATCCTGAAAGGCTAGACCAAATGCCTCTAAGATCTCCCCTGTGGCTGGGTGTTGTACAGAAAGTAGGCTAGGGCTGTTATTAACCAAGTATTTCTGAGCACCTATATGGTCAGGGAATTTGGAAGGCATTGGGCTTGCAATCTTGGCCTCAAGGAACCCAGACGTGAGTGGCTCTATAATCATTAGACAGTTTGAGATACGCCATAATTGAGACCTGGTGTTTGAAGCTGTAGAAGACTCTTCCCACCACGGTGTGATGTGGGCTCTTCATCTGCATCCAGGATCCTAATTAACATGAGCGTCAAGAGAAAAGGACAGTTTTTCTGCTAAACTTCCTGGGAGTCTTCATGAGACAGAGACGTCCTGAGAAATGGCCAGAGCAGGATGCTTTCACACTTTTTAGATGAAGAAATATGAACCTGTGAAGGAACAGTAGGACAAAGGGACCTCTAGACTCAGGCAGCAAATTCTAGCACAAATTCCGAAGATCTGTGATGGGGACCTCAGCAGCAGGGGTGAGCGTGGGGTTAAGGTGGGGGTGGGGTGGGATGGGTTGGGGGTAGGGTGGGATGGAGTGGGGGCAGTGAACCTGAGAGCTAGTGGATGATGGAGGTGACTTTGAAGTTTGTTTATTCTGTCTTATGCAATTCCAGTGGCCCAGAGGGATCAAGGCTATTTCCCAGCCCCTGTATGGGAAGGCCAGCCTACCCAAAAGAACCTGTATAGCTTGTTACACATAGGAAGAGTCCGGCCAAAGGCTCTCTCTCAAGTCACAGTCCCTGAGTGACTGCAGCTTGAGGAAATGATTGTACCAGTTTGGAATATTTTGAAATGATATGTCCTGAGTTCCTTCCAGACTCAGTGGAAGGCTTTTTGTCCTTCAGAAGATGTGGCAGATTGCAGACCTCACAACGGTTGTGTAATCAGGAGACATTTACTCCAGGTGGGAGCCGTCATGGGTGACACGGATTCTTCATCAGGTTCTTTGACTAACCGTTGCTCCCGCCCCTCCTCTGGGCAACGAGGAGCTTTGGGGATGCTTTTAAATTATCTCAACAATGGAAGCCTGCAAAACTTGCAGAATATTAAAGTCACCATTTACCTGAAAATTTCGGTTAGCGGCAGTGAGTCACTAAGTGAATTCCACCCCCAGCCTCTTAGGCTGCTTTAAAAAAAAAATCCCTCAAATTTATGTTCAGACTCATACAGCAAGGCACAGCGTTTGACAAGTTCATGGTTGAGTTTTTCATGTGTCAGGACAAAAGGCGTTTGTTGATCACCCGCCCAGGGGCTGGCAGGATCTGGTCTCTGGGATCTCAGATCTTAATAAAATGCCTCAGCCTAATGTAAGTGGGATGTGAAAGGGATCGAACAGAGGGCGAGCACATGGAAGGGCATTAGACTGTCATGGGTGTAGAGATGACCTTGAGGCATGATAGGGCCCCGAATTTTTTTTTTTTTGAACACCAGAGAATATGATATTTGATCAGAGTATGCAGAACGTCAGGTCCAGTCTAATTCGAAATATTGTTTTTCTTAATATGGGAGGCCCTGATGACAACACAGAGTTCTGCAGTCAATAATTGAGTGAGCTGCTAACAGGAAATGGTTAACTCAGAAACACTTGCCTGTGCTAATGGAAGGCTTCAGAGCCAGCTTTTTATGGCAATCTCCTACCATATGCCTCCAGGAAGCAAGCCTCTCAGTAAGGAGTTCATCTAAGCAGCAGTGGCGGTTCTAAATTTAAAAAAAAAAAAATGTTTTCAAGTCTCTTATTCTATCTTTTACTGCCCATCTATAATCTGTTATTTATCCAACTATCCACACATCTACTTGTGAAAATACCTAAGAAGTCAGGCTCTGGAGACCTGGAGAGACAAATTAGAACTTTGCAACATTATATCAATAGTATGTATTGTATATGTGCGTACTCTCCCCCCCCCACCCCGTTTCTCCTTCCCTCCCTCTTTCCCTCCCTTCTCTCTCTCTCCCTCCCTCCCTCCTCTCTCCCTCTCTCTCTCTCTCTCTCTCTCTCTCTCTCTCTCTCTCTCTCTCTCTCTCTCACACACACACACACACACACACACACACACACACACACACACACACACACAAACACTCACAGGGCAGGGATAGGGGGATAACAAAATACTCAGTTCTGCTTTGAGCTTTTCAAAATATGTAACCATATAAATATACATTTAATTTTTCAGGGATTCTTGCCCAAACCCCTCAGATTCTAAGGATTTTTTTTTTTTTTTTTTTTTTTTGCCACATTCTACTCATGGGTTGGTAGAATTGCTGTTCAAGCTTTTGGGATGCAAAACGAAATGGAAATGAGATCCCTTTATGCTAAATAAATAAAAAACATTTCACAAAACATTTCCTCCCCTGGAGTCTATTTGCCTTTGTCCAGATCTAATTTACTTTATATGGCTAAAATTATAAGGGGAATTAGGCAGTCAGAGAGTGTAATTACTTCAGCTGGAGCTTAGCTTGAGGTTGCTGTCCTCACTGATTTTGCTTGCAAGAGAGTTTATTGAAACCTTGGCTATAAATCTTAACCAGAAAGCTTGAAAAAAAATCAATATGTAATTAATTTTTAAGAGCAGAATTTTATGGATGACTTCTAGTTATTTTCCAAAAAAAAAAGAATGTCTGTAAGACGGTTAATAGATGGTTAAAACTGGATAATTCCTGCACTGTATTTTTTAGCTGAGAGAGGAAGAGGGGTGGGAAAGAGTGTCTCTCTGATAGGAAAATATCTGTGCAAGATGAAATCTTAGAATAAGAAAGAAACTGTAATTAGGTCACGTGTGATCGCAATAGAGAAGACCCTAGACCATGGCTGTGGCTCTGGAGGAAGCCTGACTTGTGGTCCTGAGTTCCTTCCTTTGAGAGGCCTCTGGCTAATTGTTGGTGCCAACTTCTCTGTTCTTTGTTAGGGGTCAAAACCGATGCTGTTTTCGGTTGAAAGCTCCGGCCAAGGTCCAGTCTCTTTCCTTCACTTTCTAAGGTACAGGTGAGAAGACCATGTTGTCTTTTCTGGGACTTTATAAAAGTCCAGACCCTCCAGTAAGTGCAAAGGAGCGCCTGCCTAAGGGCCCCTGGGGCGCTCATTAGACTGCGTGTTCACTGGGGACATGATACCTGAGTATCTGGAGTTGGAACCCAGAACGTGCTTTTTTTCCTTGGAACCAATCTCTAGGTGATTCTGCTGCAGGGGAGCCACACCTTAAGCAGCACTGTGGAAAAGGCCAGAGTGGAGTTTTGATACCACCAGAGTGGTAATAGGAACACATCCCACATGTCATTATGAAAGGTCTTAGGGAGAAATGTTCACAAGTATCCAGTCTTCAGAACTAGGCACTGCCCTGGAGCAGAAGGCTCAGGTGGAGGCAGCCCGGGACCCACAGAAGTGCCTTGGTCTAACCAGCCTCCCGGGGAGGCACAGAGCAGAGGGCTGAGGGCCCAGGGTTCAAGACACAGCAATTTTCCCATTAGTAGACCAGCTCTGGCCAATTAGATTGGCAATGTCCCTGCCCTTGGGTGGGTGAGGAAGAGCAGGTGGGCAGACAGAGGCAGAATTTCCATTTCTCTCTGGCCAAACAGTAGGAGATGAATTTTACAAGCTAGTTTACTGATGTACTATGTTAACTCATATGTTCTGTAGTTGTTACTTGAGCGAGGATTCAAGTCCATTTCCAGTGACTAATTTCCCCTTCGAACACAGTTTAGACACAGAGAGGTGGGTGGAAAGACCCTGGGTCAAAAGGAAAGAAAAGTGAATGCTTTCTCGTGTTTTTCTTGTTGCTTTTTTGAGACCAGATCTCATGCAGCTTAGGCTGGCCTCAGATTTCTATGTAGCTGAGGAAGCCTTGAACTCTTGAGGTGCCTTCCTCCCACCTCCTCCGTGCTGTGCCACCACACCTGCCTGTTTTTACTCTTGTGTATTTATTTTGAGATTTTACTTATTTTTATTTTATGTGTTCCAATGTTTGCTTGAATATATGTTTGTGTACTGTGTGCGTACAGTACCCACAAAGATCAGAGGAGAGCATTGGATCCTCTGGGACTGGAGTTACAGTTATGAGCTAGCATGTGGATGCTGGGAATTGAGCCCTGGTCCTCTGAAAGAGCAACCAGTGCTCTTAGCCACCAAGCCTACACTCTAGCCCTGTTTTTAGTTTTAATTGTGTGTGTGTGTGTGTGTGTGTGTGTGTGTGTGTGTGTGTGCGTGCGCGCACACGCACGCGCACGCTTGTGCACTCTGCGTGTTTGCCTGTATGTGTTCATGTGGAGGCCAGAGGTTGACATTTAATGCTTTCTTCCATTGCTTTCCATACTTTAATTTTATTTATTTATTGAGACAGGGTCTTTCATTGAACGTGGAGCTCACAATTCAGCTAGACTGGCCATGGAGCCCCCAGGATCCACATGTCTCTGCTCATGAGTGCTTGAGTGACAGACAACTTCACAGTTATAATGACCCGAGACACTACTGAGGACTTCGCAGCAAATGCTTTACATGCTGAGCTGTCCTGTCAGGCCTAGGATATCTTAAGAAAAAGAAATCACTTGCTGTTGTTTTCCCACGAACAAAAGCAGTGAACCCCAGAGCTCCTTTGTATCTGGAAGGATCTTTCATCTCCCATGTATGGCTCAGAGAGTTTTGAGGGATGAGGAGGAGGAGGACTTTTGGTCACTCAGTAAGGCCAATGTCTGGGACTCTGTTTTCTTCTATTTATTCTGTTAGTCTTGGCCACACACAGTACAAGCTTCCAACTCAAGCCATCCTTCCTCAGGAAGTTCGTTTGCTTACTGTGTGCTGGAATTAGACTTCTTTCTGCATAACTTCCATCCACACTTCCTTCGGTTTTCTTGTCTAATTGTGATGCATGAGTTAGGAGAAGCGCTTGGGTTAGCTGGGCAGCACTTTCTGCTCCGGGGCTCTCGCCCTTCTCCCCCAGGAGGCAGCTCATTAGAGATACTCATTAGAATAATTAGCTCATTAGAGATTATCACCAAGAATCCTGTCTTCTCAGCAGACACTTTACTTGTCCCAGGATTGGCTATCACCCTGGACAGCACAGGTTCCTTTTCTGGCCTCGGTGGCCCCACCTCATAAGGCACAGGTGACCTTGTGAATGAACACCTTGCTCAGCATTGTGCTGCAGTAGCCACACTGCCCAGTTCTCTGTCCAGACATCCTTCTTAATGTGCTCCTCTGTCAACTTCTGCTCATCCCCTAGACGCACAGCCTCCCGACCCCTCTTTCTTCCCCTCCTAGTTCCCAATCTGGAGTCTGGGCAGATGGCTACTGCAGCCCATTTCCCTTCACAACCTCACTGGGTCTTCATGAGGTTACTTCTTATCTGGCAGGCAATTGAAATTCCTCTGAACATTTTACAGCGGTCTTGTGGTTCCCTGGGGAGGAGAGTAGTTAGCAGTGGAGGACATAACTCTCCCCCCACTGTTTCCAGGAGCGGGGAAAGCAGTTAAGTCTCTACCTGCCATTCATCATCTAGCATTTTAAATTATTCATATTGATTTCCAATCCTTACAGATTGCATGCGATCACATGGGTACAGACAGCTTGGCTACTGACTCCAGCCCTGCAACGAAGCCCTGGCTGGTGTGTCTTGATGACAGGTTTGGCTTAGCTCATCACATCCGCAGCAAGCGGTGCCGCCTCTACTCCTTAGGGTAAGACATTTTTTTATAGCCGAGGAGAACACAGACATTCATGCGGCAGCCAAGGCCTTTTCAGTGACGACAGGGGGTGGCGGGGGCAGTGTGTGCAGGAGATGGGATTTGTCTCATGCCTGGGCTTCAGGCTGACCTGCTGTGCAGGGCAGGTACTGGTAGAGCAAGGACTGAGATCATCTGGGTAGGTGGTAGGAGCCACTTTTCCTCCTGTCCTGCTAGTAATAAGGTAGCAGCTTTGGTTTTCAGCTTCAGGAGGGTCCCCTTGAAGAAACAAGAGGCTTCCAGCATGAATTAGAGCGCCTTTGTTAGAGAGAGAGAAATATCAATGGCTGTATTGAGGAAAACAGTGTGCCTGGAATGCGACACGTAGTCATGAATGACCCAAGACAGATAACAGCCACTACTCTGTGTGTGTGTGTGTGTGTGTGTGTGTGTCTGTCTGTCTGTCTGTCTGTGATCAATCTATGTGTAGCTTTGTATTTAGGTAAAAGAAAAGTAAAGGAAATTCTTTAAAAGAACATGCAATTTTTGCCAAAACACTGACTTGCTTATACAGGTTGAAAATGACCTCCATATGCAAACAGATTTTGAGATTCTATTAAATGATGGATATAAATTAACATGAGACTATTTCACCAAGTCTGTCAGCACTTTTTGTCAACAGTCCTGAACTTATCAATGTGTCTTAGGTTTCTGTCACTGTGATGGAACACTATGACCAAAAGCAGCTTGGGGAGGAAAGGGTTTATTTATTTAAGCTTACCGTGCCATGGCACAGTTCACCCAGGGAAGTCAGGGCGGGAGCTCGAGGCAGGAGCAGAAGCAGAGGCCATGGAGGGGAGCTCTTTACACTGCTGCGTTCTTATAGAACCCAGGACCGCAGCCCAGGGATGGCCCTACCCACAGTGGGCTGGACTCTCCCACGTCAATCATTGTTTAAGAAAATGCTCACAGGCCTCCACAACCTGATCTTATGGAGGCATTTTCTCAGTTGTGGGTCCCTTCTCTCAGATGTCTCTAGCTTGTACCAAGTTAACACAATAAAACAGAGCTCATAAAAAAACAACAACAAAACAAGCAACCAGGACAACATGATCCATGCCTCAAAACAAAGCAGGCGAGAACCGTTTCTATTTGGAACAGTCTGCTTAGGAGACTGGTTATAGAAGACACATAGGTCCTCAGGCTAGACCACTGTAGTGTTGTTTAGAGCAGTTCAGAGGACCCCAAACAGCATCGCACATCCCTGTTCCTCAACAACAGGTTTCACTTACTTCATTCCACGCCCCACATGTAGACATCTGCCAGACTCTGTGGTCGTGGGTAGGACAGACATCTGGGTGTTGTGGAGACCTCCCCAAAGGAGCTGATTAGGAGGGGACCATCATTGCTACCAAACTGTTACAAGCAGTTTGTTGGCAGGGGTGCAGCTCAGCTGGTAGAGTGTTTGCCTGGCATGCCTGTGGCCCTGGCTTTGATCCTCAGCACTGCAAAACCAAGGCATCCATACTTAGACTCCCACCACTCAGGAGGTAGAGGCAGGAGAATTGCAAGTTCGAAGTCATCCTCCACCATATAAATGAGGTCAAGGCCAACCTGGGAAAACATGAGGTCCTGGGTCCAAGATAAAGGATTACAAGTCATTCTGGATTTTTATAAAACCAAGAAAGAATTCAAATAGAAGTGTGAAGTTAATTCATACATTCACAAATGGATCAAATGAAGAACTGTTGCAGGTGTCTCTGGGTGGGACTTGGCATGATGGTATTCGGTATGTAAAGGGCTGCTTGAGAGGGGACACAGGCTGGGTGTTAAATGGTACTTGAGTCAGACAGGAGTGTGCAGTCTGTTGGTTAGAACTGAGCTTCTCCTGGAAGCCCCCAGCTAGGCTTCAAGGCCGTAAGAAGCATGGAACGTCGTGACAGCCGAGTTTGTTTTATGTCACATTAAAAATTTGTGAAAGTAGGTCAAAAAATAATTGCATAGTATAGCATGAAAATTGGCAATGTCGTCTCCATCCTATTTCCTGGTTCCAAACTTTACGTTCTGCTTAACATTTTGCATTCCACAATAAATTCATTTAAGAATATAACTGAATAAAATAAAACTTGGGAAGTTATTTAGGAGGTGTTTGGAAATTCTCCACCACCACCCCCCTTATGCTTCCAAGCTGTTAGATAAGACGGTTCTGCAGCAAGATTCCAGATTATTACATAGAGAAAAAAAATTATTTTCTTTCATTTACATTCAAAATCAGCTTTGCAAAAAGCAAATAAGAACTTCTGAATTATTGTGGAAACAGAAATGAATATATATATATTATAAGGGTCAATATTTGATGAAAAACATGAAAGTTTTTATTACCAACTGCAATCTATCTGAGCACAGTGGCCCACACCTTTATTGCAAGCACTCAGGGGGAAGAGGCAGGTGGATCTTTGTGAACTCAAGACTAGTCAATCCTGTCCCCCAAAACAAAATAAAAAAAAACAAAACAAAATAAACAAACAAACCCAAAACAAAAACCCACAAAGAAACAGGGAAAAAGAAAAGAAAGATAGAAAACTTGAATCTAAAGAAAGCATTTGTGATAGAAAAAAATGGCACTTGGATTGTGCACAGTGGGTCAGGATGGTGACTGTGCTGTGGCTTGGGGCCTGGGGTCTAGACGTTCCCCCTGTTCTGGTGAACTTGCTACTTGCCATCTCAAGCAATGCTGGGAGGGGACACACAAGCAGTGGTTCTGAAACGAGGGACCACCGCAGGGGACATTGGCCCTGTGTTACCAGTGTCTGGGACAGGTCTGTGACAGTGGGGAATGCCTGGGGAATCCGTGGTCTCGACATACAAGTGTGCGCATGACTCCTGGAGAAGGGCAATAGTAGAACTATGCCTCTGCGGGGCCCAGTGATTCCCAGGCAAACCAAAGGTGCAGATGCAACTGGGGGGACCTGGCATGAGAATCCAGGAGTCAGAAGACAAGGGCAGTAGGCCTGTGTCTCGTCTACCCCATGCTTTCTCCTCCAACCTCCTAACTGAAGCAGGCGCTGCCTTGACCGTCTCCCCCAGGGCTTAACGTTTCTCTGCTGGGAGTCAAAAATTCATATTCCACAGTAGATGTGAAAAGATGCTTGTCTGGTACAGTGTGTTCTATCAAAACTTAGACTCAGTTTTTCACTTTTCAAATGGTGTAGAGTAGACCAGTGGACATACAGGAAGGCACGAGAAAGGGAGGGAAATGATGAAGGGAAGAAAAAGAAGAGAAACTGAAAAACAGGAAAAGGCCGTGGCTTCTGAGGAGAGTATATACCTTACCATTTCAGACAGGCTCTTCCCAGTAAGTCTTCCAGTACAGACAGCGGTGAGGGGGTCGTCCAGATGTGGTGTAGGGGGCAGAGGAGGAGTGGAGCGGAGAGAGAAGTCGCCTAGTTGACTCTTATGGCAGCAACTGTGTTTTAGGGGTAGAACTGAGCAGACAGGAAGAGGAGAGACACCAGGCAGAGACACCCCCACCCCCCACCCCCCCACCCCCACCCCCACCCCCCCCCCCCCCCCGTCTTCATCTCCTCCCGCTCTGGGCTAAATTATACTATTTGGTTTCAAAACATGATTTCTTGGTGTAAGACAGAAGATTTTCTAAGTCACACATGGTGAGGCAACTTGAGCCAGGATTTTAGACAGAAAACCGGCAATGTGGCTGGGAGCATTTCAAGAAGAATGAATGAGCCTCATAGACAAATACATTTGTTTCCCAGAGCTTGAATGGAGCCAGCAGGAGCAGTGTTAGCATAGGATATATGAATGGGGAAGAAGATTGTGGTCCTCAATGCTTCTAGATATTTTCTCTCTAATAACCCAGCTGTGGTCTGGTAATACCATAGACACACTATATAGCTGTTCATGCAATGTATAATATCTATGCTTTATTTGTAAAAAGAGGAAGTGTGTGTGTGTGTGTGTGTGTGTGTGTGTGTGTGTGTGTGTGTGTGTGTGTTCCCTAAAATCCATTTCATTGCTTTGGGATTGATACTGTCCTGAAAATACATGAGTTTGGTTTGTCTTTAAGATAGGGTTTCACTATGTAGCCCTGTCTCTTCTGGAGTATAGACCAAGTTAGCCTCTAACTCACAGAGATTCTCCTGCCTCAACCTCTTGAGTACTGAGATTAAAGGCATATATCATCATGCTTGATTTCATGTTTTAAATGAAACTTTGGAATTTCATGCAATGCTACTAACACAAGGATCAATCACTATAAAATATTTTATTATCCATCGTCAGCTTTAAGAACCCTCCACCACACACACACACACACACACACACACACACACACACACACACACACGGAGTTGGCAATTTACAGATCTAGCCTGCCACCACACCAGAGTGCCTTCCTTAATACTGCTGGTGCGCTCACACTCTGGAGGAAAACGCTTCTCACCATGCTTCTCACCACTTCCAGACCTCTTCTCCAGTGATGAGGGCTAAAAACTTCTGCTCTGTACTCTGGATTTATTTTTGTTGTTTTTAGCTTCTTAACGGTTTTATCGACATATAAATACACTTCTATACTATGTATAAATAGACTCACATACTTAAATACACCAATCAGAGGTTTCTTTTAATCACTCCACTTAAATTTAAAACATTTCCCTCACCCTTCCCTTCCCCACAGCCCTGGAGCCGATATTCATTTCTCCCATTTTCCCTCTACTCTTTAGCTCCCTGATGGTTCAGCCTCTCCCTGCCTACCCCCTGGCCCTAAGCAAACACTAACTTGACTTTCTGTCTATAGAGGCACCCTTTCTGAACATTTCATGCAAATAGAATCACATGATATATAACATTTTGTGACTGTTGACTCTAACACAGTGTTTTCATAGTTCATCTACAGTGTAGCATGTACCAGCACTCCATTACTCTTTAGGTCTGAGGCATAGCCTATTGTATGGAAATATCACATTCTGTCTCTTCACGCACCAGTTGATGGACAGCGC